AGTAGGTCAATTTACTAAAGTACATTTTTTACAGTTATTTATGTACATACTTAGTCTTATTTGCATGAGTGTACATGACAGATTGTTTTAATTAGATATACCCAGTTATCATTCATAACCTATGATTTGTTTAAAAAATGCTGGAAAAACTAAAAAAGTTAGCCAATTGAAATAAATGCACTAATAACTTGCTAAACATACCTATGGTAGTTGCTATTTATTATATAAAAAACATATGTCAACATACACTCATGCTTTTTCCTACTACTCGAGTCTCCACTCACCAGGTGTCTTTATGAATTTTTTTGGATAAAATCCTATTTTAAAAAAGTCAACCCTATACTTGATACACAGAACATAGACATCCAGGACATCTCCTGCAGCAATTAGTGGGTGCAAATACTTGCATAGTTCAGAAGCAATATAAACAACATGTGTCCATACAGTTCCATAGTCTAGATCAATAGGCAATTCCAGCTTTTAATTTATGCATGGAGGGGGTGACGGGAAGTAAGGTATCATATTCCTGATTATGCTGAAAATTTTTAATAAACTGCCTAAACAACCAAAATATTTCAATATTTACAATAGCTATCACTCCATGTTTACATGGCTACCATTTCTATTTTTCAGCATTATCAGCAATATGATACCATCACCCCCTGCACACATAATCTAAAAGCTGGAATTGGCTATTGCACTTGGGTCCCTTGGATTCAATGGTGCTGGCCGTATTCTTACATTGAATTCACTGTTTTATCTTGTTCATGAAGAGCGAGGTATTATGCCTTAATTTTCCAAATGATGTCAGTAGTTTTTCTCATGAGCAGCACCGATGCACTTGAATGGTAAAGAGTGGGCGATTTCTTCCTCCCCATCACTTTCGTCTTCATCACTTAACTTGTCATCTCTTTCTGCCCTATCACCTTGATCACCTCTTTCATTATCATATACATCTTGGACAGGTTCAAGACCAGCCAACCACTCAAGTAAATCTCTTTCTACAAAATCATAACAAGGAAATTATTATGTATCAAAGATACATTGTCATCTCTAAAATTAGCAAAAAATATACAAACAGCAATATTTAGATGAAAATTTAAAAAAAAATATTAAATTACAGTTTCCACATTTAAACAACCACCCACAACTAGATGCAAACCGGCATCACACTCAGCAAAAATTTATAAAACCATACAAATAACTGAATAACAATATACCTTCAGACTCATCTGAGAACCAATGTTCATCATCTGAATGTTCATCATCAATACTATTCGCTGTCAATATATGATCCACATCGAAATCCAAAAGCATATGCTGGGTGTTTTCGTTAACAAACTCATCAGGAGAAGGGGCAAACTAAAGGGTTAAATTATTAGAAATATTACGCCATAATTTGTACAGTGTATTTATAAAATTACAGTACAATTATATTGAAAACAGCAAAGCGGAAATTTGACCAAATAACAAGTCAACTGTATTAAATGCATTGTAATATACTAACCTTAAATACTGCTCTTGCAGTTTTCACGTTGATGATACACAGAGATTTAACGCCATCCAACTTAGAAAGAAGGGCCTCGCTATTGGGAATATAAACACAATTCCTTCGCTTTGACAGACGGGTTTAATATTTATAAAGCTAAAATGACAGCACGTCCCATGCAATTTAATATAAGGTAAACTTGGTATAGTAAAACACAAGTCATAATGACGATCGCAACAATACAGCAATAGCATGCTATTTTCACGAAGTTTTGCAGCCTGACAATCTTGTATTTCGAATGCTTCCATATTTGTTTACTCAGAGAGATGTTCACTCCACGACAGTCAAAGAGTCATTAAGCCACGCCTGGAATTAGGCGCTCAAACCCATGATGCTTTGCGGCCTGCTTGTCGAACCTCCTCTGGAACGTTCCCAATGAACTGGTGTATTAGGTAGGTAGTCTGTACTTGTACTATGTACATACCTTTGTAATATGTATTAAGCAGTGTTGCTTATTAGGTCATTCCTTATTAGCACACACTCAACCATGGTCTATTATAAAATCCAGCATTTTGATTGGCTATTGAACCAAGGACCATTACGTGACGGCCCACGGTCGAGAAAAATGATGGCGGAAAAATTTTCTTGCAAACCTCTCGAGAGAATTTTGTGGGAAATTCTTTCTCCAAAGAACAAAAAAGACTACAAAACATGATCTGTAGACGATTAATGCTAGGGAGCAAAATTTAGACCGTATTTTAAAGTGGCACTCGCGTCAAAACAGTTTATTTTCTTAAACGAAAATGATCTTAAAACTGTATATATCAGTAACCTGTTTTGAAGATTTTTGTTTCCATGCTTAGTTTTTTGAGATAATTTCATTTTGAGGTAGCCAATTTATCCCGCCCGTTATGTGACCCCGTCCGAGATCAAATGAGAACAAGTCAGCGGCTGAACATTTAGCATTAATAAACACAATTCGAATTAGCGCGCGGATTATGGAAATTGGCGCGAGCTACAAAATGGCCCGAAGTGACAGATAAATAACATTTTTAATAAACCAATTTGTCGAATTTTGAAAGAAGGGGCAATTTAATAATAGTAATTTACAGTCATACAGTAGTAACTCCCCTGTGTTGTCTAGTAATTCCACAGTGATTAAACTGTGTTGTCTAGTAATTCCACACTTAAAAAATAAACCTGACCCGAACTCTAACCCTATTAATCTAACCAAAAGGTATTGTATAAAGACAATCTTAGGAAAAATCTCAGAGAGAAAAAATATGAGAACGAAAAACAAAAGAGCCATCGCGGGATTTGAACCGCCTATTAGCAGCATGTGAGAACGCACGCAACGCCCTAGACAACCACACCACCGGCACTAGCAGACATACAAATGTAGAAAATCTAAATATATACTGGTATATAAACATATATAAATAAAAGGATCCGCTGACATTTTATAGCAAATATTGGGATGGGATGGCATTTATTGTTTTTTCTTGCCACGTCAAGTACTTCAGATTTCAGAGGGATTAGTTTGTGAATTTTCTCAGAGCATGTATTAATTTGCATGCACATGGAAATGTATTTTTAGACAAAATAAACTATAAACCAGTCATATTTGTTCTTCGATGGTAAATATTCGAATGCTGGCCCATGCATGCATCTGAAAATATTTCCACTTTCTAAAGTTTTAGATGAAAAATATTCAGCGATTTTCAGCGATAAAATTCCTTTGGAATTAAAGTAAAACCTTCGAAATTCGGGCGATGTTGTTTAAGTAATTCACTAGATGCCGCTGACATGTTTTGATATAATCGCAGACGGGGGTCACAGAACGACCGGGGTAAATTGACTACCTCATTTTGATGTTTATGATGTTACTCTGAGTGTATATCTATACCGGGCAAGCTTGAAAAGTATGCCTGACCACGTCGGGAATCGAACTTTCGACCTTTGGAATACCAGCCCAATGCTCTGCCAACTGAGCATACTCGAACCGACCTGACCGCGCACTTCGCAGAGCATTGGACTGGTATTCCAAAGGTCGCAGGTTCGATTCCCGCCGTGTTCATATTTTTCAAGCTTGCCCGGTGTGGATATACACTCAGAGTAACATCACAAATGTCAAATATTCACCTGAGTACATAACACCACCAAAGAAAAAATTCATATTTCATTTAGTTTGTAACCATGTGACGTCATTTACTCAATTACATATATTTGATTGATTGATGAAATATCTCAAAATGAAATATCTCAAAAACTAAGCATGCATGCATGCATGGGAACAAAAATCTTCAAACAAGTTACTATACAGTTTTAAAAGCATTTTCGTTTAAGAAAATAAAAATTTTGACGCGAGTTCCACTTTAATAATAATAAACCGATCTACTGCTATTTGCAACAAAATATGACAAGTTGCAGAGCACATTCTTTGTGCATATTACAAGCAAGACCGTGAAAATTTCAGTTGTTTGTGGTCACTTTATCATGTTTCCTTGTCTTTTAGTGTTCCTTTGTTAAAAATGTGATTTTTTGTTGAGTACATCGTGGTAATATTCTCACGCTGTTTCCCTTTTAAACGATTTTTTTGTGAGCTTCGACATTTCTCGCCTAAAACCACTTTGAATTCCTTATTCGTTACAACTTTGAAGTTTTCAGATAAAGTTTAAATGCTATATTTTTTATATGTATTTCATGCAAGTGATAGCATTGTTTTGCACAGTAATTTGTATTTCATCGATTTAGAATTTGTGACATTATAGGATTGCTTTGCGTGCATCTTACAGATTTTTTAATTAAACGTAAAAACTACTGCAACATTTTGGAAAACCATATCAATTGTTTGCGCATTGCACTATTAAATCGTGTTTCGTTTAATACGACCTGTTTTAAAATATTTTCAAAGCCCACGAGCTGTGTAATTTTATAAACTTTTCGCCTGGTCGTTTGCAAATTAAAGTAAACAAAAAAGCCACATGCGAAACATGCGAAGGTTGTGAGAAGTCATTCAAACGCTTGTGCTTGGTTTTAAATGTTATTTAAAATCTTTTCAGTCGTGCTTGGAGATTGTATTTTGAGCAGAAGTGTATGCTCAAACAATTAGAAAACTCAGCCTCGTTGTCTGTGGCGAATAATCAACTCAGGCTGCGCCTTCGTTAACTATTCGCTCATAGCCAACGAGGTCGAGTGTCTAATTGTTAAGTTATCACCTCGGCTTCAGGGACCAGTTATTAGTTAACTAGTTCAGTGTTGCTACAGGGAAAACTATATGTAGAATATCGGAAGGAACCCTGTGGTGTTTGATCGAGTCAACGTTAAACTATATACCTCTCATGCAAGACCGAGGGGTAATTTTTATTTCAATTTTATATTTCAGTTATCGATCCCTGATCTGTGATATGAAAGACACATTTACTGAGCAGAGTACCATGAACGGAATAGAAAAACGGCACTTTGTTTGATGATTCTTCAAATGGTTTTGCTTAAATTTGCATAAACTTACTGTCAACATGTCTTGCGTTTTCTCGCATCAGGAAATCTGTTCTTGCTTGCTCCAGTCCAACTTTATCAAACAATGACAACGTGTATTCATAAAACCTTTTCTGAACACTGGCCAGCGATATAATAATACATGGCACGACAATCAAGGTAAAACACAAAAGGAATGAGCGAATCACAAGTTGATATGTACTTTGGTCAATTTCTTCTTTTAGCTTTATCTTAATCAAGGCAGCCAGTCGCACTTGAAGTTCTAACATCATGTTAATGTACTTTGTCATCAACTCAAACCATGCGCGTGATTCGTCATTGGAAAACGTCTGGTATGCACCCCCAGATAAGACTTTTCTTTTCTTGTCAATTTTCTTGATTAAGTGTGAAGTGTTGGCAAATAATGAAGTGTGGATACATTTTAATTCGCTTGAAAACAGGAAGGCTGTCTGGAGGTAATTTTCAGAAAGGGCACGTTTTTCGTTGTACCATGTTGTGTTTATGGCACTAAAGTTCTTGCCTTGAATGAATTTCAAACCTCCAAGAGCTCGTTCCATTGCTGCCTCTTCCTTACTGAAAATCACCATCTCGTATGCGTAAACAATGTCAGCATAGTCCCCCAAGTTTTCGGATTCTGTGTATTTTACTAGCGTAGAGATGAGTCCATTTATCCATTTTCGATAGGTTTGTAAGCGTACCATAGCATTGGTTCTCCCATGGTCAATTCTGCGTCTGAAATTCTCCAAGGTATACAAAAATGAAATCGCTCCCCCTGTTAATATACTAAGCTCAATGTTATATCTTTTTTCTAATATGACAATGCTTTCATTCGTTTTACGCCGAATAGCAATACATCTTTGGCGTTCTTCTTCGGAATGTATGTGATGAATACCCAAATGTATCCGTTCTGTCATTCCCCGTTCTGTTTGTAGGTTGTGGATAACCATTGCCGTGTAAATACTTCGTTAGATTTTCTGAGTTAGCTGCTGTTTGTTCACAAAGGATTTTGTTGTTTGAATCACGTCAATGATGGTTAGGGTAACGGTTACTATGGAAACGAGCGCGATTATGACTAACTTTGCTAACTGATATCGTCGGTCTTTCTTCGTTATGGCCGTTTTCGGGTTTTCAGCGTTAGCGCTGGCCTGGTAACTTTGTGGAATATTCATATTGAAGCTAATTGAAAAAGAGCTCGGGGTAAAGTACGAATCTGGATTTATCTCTGAAAGGTGGAAAAGAAGTTACCCTTAGTTAAACAAATCGCAATATCCACATATAAGGCTATACGTGCAGTACAAATCGAAAAAACAACAATAACATAACAATGACGATGACAGCATCACGATGGCTAGTGGAACACCAACCTGTTTGCCTGAGAGCGTTTTGTGGCGTTTAAAATTTCTTCGGTAATTTACTAACTGGAATCATATATATAAGTATATAAATTCTCGAACAAGAAACTCTTCTATGAAAAAGAAAAAAAAATGGGGCGATTAAATATTCTGCATGCTCATGCATGAATGCAGATATGTAAAGACAAAATTGAAATAAACAACGCGAAGATTTTTATTTTTTAATCTGTTAATGTATGCATTAAGCTCTGATTTTTCACAAAAGCAAAAATGGAATAAAAATTATTCACAACGTGAATTGAAAATTATAAATGTCAGAAAATTTCTCTTAAAATTGATCACAAAGGAGCGTACTAACAGCTGTTCTCCTTTGAAAACATTAATGCAATGTTTTTTTATAGTTGAGTTCTCGCCAAAATACACTAAAATTATATTAATAGGAAATTAAACTTTTATTAACATTTTTAAACCGACTAATTTTTTTCAGATATACTGATATTTTATTTTGATACTTCTATAAGACTGAGACAACGTCGTGAATAGCGCAAAAGCTTTCCGAGGAATATTTTGTACGTTCATCACCGAATAATCTAATGTTCGCTGAAATACATTATTATCGCCGTATCCACGCAGTTTTCATAAAACATGGCGGTTAATGGGATTGCTATCACCGAGTACAGACTAGGGCCATATTGTGTTAATATCAAGTCCTACCCACAAAGAGATGAATACCTCATGTGGAATTTCTATATTTTATCTGTTAAAAAAAGGCGAGGGATTGCTGCATGCATGCATGTATTTCTGGAATTACATACAATAGCATACCTAACATATATATGTTTGCGAAATTGACAATTTTGTACATAAAAGTAACAGGTGGGAAATTTGTCGTCGCTGACCAAAAAATTGCGGGCAGAAACAAAGCTCATTGCATTTACATTCAAAACAAAGCAGAAAGTTAGCAAGACGCTGTTTTAGCTGACGATTTTTTGCTTTCCATTCAACGATTTACAAATTATTGGTTATTCTTTTAAAAGTCGATCATGAATTCTTTGTTTTGGGATGATTGTTTTGTAATCGAGTGATTGGAAGAAGTTAATATGGCGACGTGAACATGGGAGTAAATACCGTATACGTCGATCTATGGCTTGTTTAAAACCGTAATAAACGAAGAAAGACGTGATTTGAGAATGAAATGTAAGTTGAAATTAACTTTATATGCCTCAAATTTTCCATCCTATGTTTGTTAATGTAACTTCAGCTGTCTAAGTTCAAAATACAAGCTCGCGAAATTTGACAAATGTTGAAAATATGTAAAAATAGCTTGACTTTGAACTGTATTTTCTCAAAAATAGCCCGTGGCCTCAATTTCAAATATAGCTAAATGAAAAGAAAAAACTTTTCGGCGTTTGTAGGTATCAAACATATCGTCAGGAAAATAGGGGCTCACAATGTTTTAGTTCAGTCTTTGAGACCCAGTTGCTTCGCACGTGTTGTGGTCAAATTTTTGCCAAGAATCAAAGGCCGAAATGTGAACTTCCTTCATGAAAACCGCTTCGAGAAGGGTCTAGTTTGAAAATTTAGCCATTAATTTCGATTTCATGAGCATATTTTGGTTACACGTTAAGTATTTTTGTGCTTGATGCGATTCAAAATTTGTTGTATATTCAAGCCCGGCTTTTGTGTAATTTTGGTGATGACCGGAACAGAAATAAAGATATTTTAAAAACTGGCCGTGGCCTCACGATAAAACTTTCTACAAATGTTCTCTGTTTCATGTACTTTTATTTGATATCTTGGGTATAAGCGTAAAAATAGGGGCTCATACAGTTTAAGAGGTTGTAAAATGCATGACTTGCCTCTATTTTCATGTAAACATTCGAAATTCTTCGACAGCAAAGTAGCAACTGTTTCAGATCGAATGCAGACGGACAGCCCACCAGAGACAATGGCAGGGTACTGAAATAGAACGTCATTAAAAAGTTCTGTATGATTAATTTAGAACATGTCCACTCTTTCAACATAAAACAGTCATTTATTTTGTACAAACATTTTGCAATATTTACACGATTGTGCTTTTTTGTAAACACGCGTTGCGTGTATTCCACACAATTGCGTGACTTATTTTACTCGCGCATGCTCAGACAAATTTCCCACCTGTTCATAAAAGTGATATTTTTCGGGGATGTCTCATTTGTAAAAAATTCTTAAAAATTACCATGTTATACCATGACAACTACTTTAAATACAATCTTTTTGTCGCAATTATATGCGATGGTTTCTGCATGCACGTATTTTCTAGTTAAGGTCTAAGGTTCAGAGAAAATGATTCCGAGTAAGATATCATAATTTCCAGACTGCGTGAAAGCAGAAAACTCTGGCCGCCGCAGCTGGGTTTCAAACCCGCGACCTTCGAATTGATCGATGGTCCACCAACTCAGCTATACGTTTAGGAAATTATATTATATATCTTCAAGAAGAACATTTATTATATATATCTCGTTGGAGATATATCATAATTTCCTGAACGTATAGCTCAGTTGGTGGACAATCGATCAATTCGAAGGTCGTGGGTTCGAAACCCAGCTGCGCCGTCCAGAGTTTCCTGGTTGCGCGCAGTCTGGAAATTATGATATCTCACTCGAAATCATTTTCTCTGAACCTTAGGCCTTAACTAGAAAATACTTGCATGCAGAAATCCTCACGTTGCTGCCAAACCATTGTATTTCCGACCATGAAGTATTTAAAGTAGTTGTCATGGTAACATGCATGTAATTATTAAGAATATTTTTACAAAAGACAAATAACTTTGCTTTCTTTTTAATTTACGAAAACTTTAATGTAATAAAAAAGGGTAATCAATAAAGATTACCATTTTTTCTTTTAAAATATTAGCAGATTGGTCTTTTTTCATTTAAAATTTACGCAATGATCCGGCAGCTTTTAAAGCAATTATAAAGCAAACAATACATCAACATTTAAAACAAACTTACCTACGTTAACGTCCAACCTCGTTCCCAGGGCTTTTCTCTTTTTGTCATTGGGAAGGCGGGAAAAGGTCCTGGATCTGGGTGGTCACACCACTTTCAACACCCAGATATAGTGGGTGTAACTAGAAAATACATGCATGCAGCAACTCCTCGCCTTTCTTAACAGATGAGGTATAAAAACTCCACATAAAGTATTAAGACCATTATAAACAAACAAAAACACAACTGATGCGCTGCTTTATAATGAATGATAACATTCACTGCAATTTCATGCATACCAGCTTGCATTAAAGTGAATTATCGAGTTAAGAAATATGAATAAAACCGACAACACAAAGCAAGTACGGCATGGAATTTTACTACAGAAATGTTTACACTTACCCAAACCGGCACAACAACGATTAAATTATCAAAAACATCAACATCAAAACATCAAACAATTATTATACAAACTTTGTTTCACGGTTAAACAGCCACTAATTCATGAAACTGCAGGTTTATTTCCAGTTGAAATCGAGAAAAAAACCGTGTTCTACTTCTGTAAATTTTTTAACGAAATTTAAAACAAAAAAATGCTTGTAAAACAGCAAAATACGTCTTTTCAAAATGAAAATCAATTACTTATCCAGAGTTTGTACTCGCGCATGCGCATAACGTCGAAAACCGTCCATGACATAAACAAAAAGAGGGACAACTTTGCACTCCACTATGTTTTCACATACCCGGGTATAATTAGCCGTGCGGAATTAGTACTCTCGCACGCACGGCGCTTCGCGCCGCCGGCTCGGGGATAAACTAGAAAATACATGCAATGCAGAAACCTCTCTCACCTTCAAATAACTTTGAAAATTCTCGCATTCAAATAACTTTGCTTTGAATTCTTTTTATTTAAAAATTTTAATATAATAAAAATTAAAGGGTAATCAATAAAGAAACACTGAAATTATATATGCTGTCTTTTTTCAAAATGTACGCAACGATCAGCTTTTAAAGCAATTATAGAGCGAACAATATATCAATATTTAAAACGTCGGCGGCTTTACTCCCTCCTTTTAGCAATTATTTCGACTTTATTCTCTTAGAAAGCTTTTGAAATTTACAATATCTTGAAATTTGCAAATGAAATATAATTATTTGCAAGAAATCATCAAATCAAGAAACGTTTGCTATTTCGCTGTCGTCATGCAGTCGTTCTAATGCAAATTTTAAATTTGACCAATCATTGTTCTCTATTCATGACAGTACGTCCGCCATATTTTTGAGATCAGTGAGAATGATCACCACTGAGCTATATACTATATAGTTACCCTTTTCAGAAAGCGGTATCAATTTTCCGTGCGTAATACAAAATGACTGAAAATGGTAAACTTCGAAGAGCTATATTATCCGCATTTTACAACATTTCGCAAGGAAACTTCGGAATATTACTAATTTTGTGACGCTCTTTAAAGCTGTGCTGAAGTTTTTGTCTTGACTTGTCTGGATCAAAATTTTGTTCATTAGCTAATAGGTCCATTATTTGGCATTAAAAAGTGACTGCTACGGGCTCAATTGTTCAGACTAGACTAAACTGCACGCATGCGTAAAGATCCTCACTCGAGTAGT